TTTCATGCTAATTTAGTAATATTACAATTGTATTCGCATAAACAATTGTGTATGTTTTTGATTTTTATTGAGTATTTTTTGTTTAATTTAAGAATTTATTTGCCGTGGTCAATTCAAAATTATTTTCCAAATCATTTGATTTTATTAATTAAAGTATCTGCAGGTTGCAGGTGAGTTATCACCAACTTTTTTCAATTCATTAATTTAACAATTTTCATTACGCTCCCCTCCCACATTTATTTACCTCCCTCCCCCTGAACTTGTTTTGAATGTTAAGATGCTAATAATTAGAAGGAAGAAAAGAGAGAAGAAAAAAGTATAATTAAAAAAAGAAAGAAAAAGAAATATCAAAATATAAAATAAAGAAGTATATGTACACACTTACCTTCTACATCAAAGACAGATATTTCATGAGGATTCTCAGGGCTGATAGGAACGTTGAAATGGATAGATTGGGATGGGAGGTCTGTTTTTTTACCTACTACACAAGAAACACAATGAAAATATTACAAACTTGCTACATGTAATTGACAGTGATTAATTTTCAAAGAACTCCTCTCTTCAGAAAATAATGCCAATATCTAAATATAATACGTTTCAACACCTAACTTCATATTTTCCACAAAATATGCACTATTTCCACAATATTTTTTAAGAACAAAATAATTGCTATTATGTTACTTTAAAAAATGTGAAAGTAATTAAAGTATAGCAAAAAGCAGAATGGGTGGCAAATAAGGAAATAGATATGGTGAGAATACCAACTGCTTAAAAACAAAGAGCAAACAAAACAAGATGACCAACACTCATTAAAATAAAAGGAAAATAGCAAATGTAGCTACATTTTATAATGTTGTAACGTCATTATCAATAGTTTTCTGCCCTCTTTTTCCTGAGAGTACAGTGAAAGAGTAATTGGTAAAGGCTAGAAAATAGTAAAAAATTAACAGATAGAGAATAGCTTCTATCTAAACAGGTGATCATGCATTTACAAGATCATTTATAAAATATTTATTCATTCTACCAATGGGATTTTGATAGTTGAATTGAAATGAAGACTGAAAAACAATTTAAAATTCCTACAGTTTCAACATGAACAAAATTTACTTTAACCACTCATCAACCATAGGGACTACTTCTGATCATACACACAAATTTCATGAATCAGCTTCTCTAAGTATTGTGTTGTAATTTCAATCAACAGCAGTTTTTTTAAATGTAATTTTAAAATGTTGTAAACATTCTAATATTAATATAAATCAGTAGTTAAAAATATTGTTTAAGAACAACATTTTTATATTTGATAACATTCAAAATAATGTCCATTACAATAAAATATTTCAAATTAAATTATTCACACCAATTTTCAGAAGCAAGATAAATAAAGTGTCCAAGTAGAATTATCAGTATACTGTCACTATATTCATTCTTACATTTTCAATTTCTTAACTATCACTAATTAACCCTAACTTGCATAAAATTTTAAAATTGTTAAAATTTTTAAGAATAGAAGAACACACCCAATATCTTAAATCAGACAAAGCAGTAAAATAAAACTGACTAGTAAGACAGTTTCTGACCCTTCTTCGCTGAAAGTGATAGATGGACAAGTATTAGAAGAACATAACTCAAAAAAATACAAAAAGAAATAAGCGATGGCATTTTTGTATTTGAATGGACACTCCAACAAAAGGATTGCAATAGAATCATGAAATACTACTCAAACAAACTTACCCCTTGGAGAAAAGGAGAGTGTGATATTAAAAATTAATAGCAACCCACAGTTATTGTTGTCCAGTTTGATTGTTATTCACAATGACAATTGATCTATATTATAATTATTGCATTAAAAAATGTGGATTCACAGGAAATTAAAATGTGCAGAACACTTTCTTAAAGCATCTGATATGAACTCGCATTCTGTTTATTACAAAATCACAATACACAGGCACAAAAACACTTTCATGCAATCAGATAGTCATACAAAAACACATGCATTACCAAAAATATTAATACAAGTGCCAATGAATCCATGCAACATTGATCTTTACATAGAGACATTTTTTAACATATAGAAATCTTTAACATGCATTATGCATATCTAGGCAACAGATTTTACAAGTGTTATGTTGCAGAAATAATACAAGCAATAGAAGTAAAAGAATTCAATGGACATTAACAGCCATGAGAGTTATGCAAAATTGTCACGTATTTTGTATTCCACACAATTACACTTCAAACAAAATAAAGGGAGGAGCTATTATTGAACAAATTGGTAACAGTTTGACATTTTGAAATTCTTGTCTAGTATCAAATTTTGACTTCTACGATATTTTACATTACATTATTTGGCATTTTATTAACACCTTTTTATATTGACATTTCCTAACTTCAGAGTTCATGTGACTTTTTCATTAAAACTTGAATAATTAAAATTTTAAGATATTATCCTCAAACTGAAATATTTCAACAGTTAAACAAACAAACTTCCTGAAAATCAAAACAATATACGTTCATGTTTATCTTCAGGATATCCTAACATTTCAGTGTTTCAATTTGGTCAGTCTTGGATAACATGCTGTTTTGTGCTGGTTACTAATGAAAACACATTCCTTTTCTTAATTATATTAATATTTTTTCATAATATTTTATATTGTATTGACTTAAAGCAACCAAGTAGGGGAACAGAAAGTCACTTTTGAAGGCCTGCATCTGTTAAGGATATTACAGTCCAATGTCCATTAAGAATAATCAAAACTAAGGAGTTGTAACTGAAGACAGAGGACGAGTTCTCCTACTCCAAGAAAAGGTATTTGTCTACCAGTTAAGTTGTTTAGGGGAACCCCTACTTTTACAAACTTCAATGAGGGCCAGCTATTTTCCTGTATATCAACCTAATGACATAAATAACTATAACGAAGACAAACTCAGAATATGTCTGAATAATTTTGATAAAATGATTGAAGGAACAATGTCTAAGGAAGGTAGAGACTTATTATTACATTATGTGAATTAATATCAACACTATTTCCGCCAAACTTCAGAGAGAAGTAAAACTTGTTAATAACAGTTCTTGAAAGTGCCTTAGCACTTAGCATACATAAATTAATACAAACATTTATGTTTAATACCATATGACATAACTTGCTCGATCTAAATATTTTAATTGAAGGAGAATATTAACCTGGAGTTGGTGCATAAGCTGACTGTCACCCTAACACTATTTGAAAACCTAGTGTACTTTCAGATATGTTTACAATTTTTCAATCTTATCAATATCAAGTTTTATACTTGTAGCTGGACTCAATAGATTCCTGTCCTTTCCCAGACATTTTGTCTCGCAGGAAATGTAATGCAGCATGGGGTCATCAAGTCTCCCTGTGCCTCCTTTGGTTACTGCTTCTAGACATACAATTCACAGCAGTTAACGACCCAGAGACAGATTTTAACTAAGCAGTTTGACTTCCAATCACACACTATGGTTAGAGTTATTTAAATTTGTTAAAAGTATAAAGATGTTTAAAGTTGTTTAAATATCTATGTTATTCATTGAATCTAGCTTTTCATTAAAAATAGTTTAAAACTAAATTTTATTACAATATTTTTAATAGATCATACTTATATTTTTATATTACAATAATATTCTACAATAATATATTTATATGACAATGATGTATTAATATTATACTATAAAGCTATTTTTACTTATTGCAAATGATTTTTAGGTCTAGAAGAGTTTCCCTGTTCGCAATAAAATAACAGTAAATCATCATCATTCTGTTTGATGTACAAAGACTACATGTGTATTAATAATACACATACACATTTCATAAAAGTTGTTTGAAAAAACAAAAAAATCACAGAAATTGGTAAATTACTAATTCTCATTTCTAAATTATAAATATAAACTTTAATACAAACAGAAGAATATTTATTAAGGGAACAAATGAGTATAGTTTACAGCTTCTCAGACTTTTACTGAGGTGACTTGGTCACTGCACACTACCCAATTCATTATGAAACACGGTGTGTCTACAGCCAGGTTAACACATTTGAGAACTGGCGTAGGATTCACAGAGGAATACGAGAAATAAAGAAAGCTGTACATCTATTGGGGTTTAAAACCATTAAAATTGAGCCACTACATCATAAGAAAATCATCACATTATTTATTAAGCATGTTGTAAAATTCGTACTACACATATTATAAAAATGAAATTAAATAGTGTACAATACACCAGTATCTGCAGAACAAAATCGAAGAAGTGTCAGATACAGTCTTAGAAAAGACAAAGAATAACTGGATCAGACATTTTTAACATGTATTTTCAAACATGTACTTCATCTGTACACAAGGAAGTGATACTGCGAATCTTGCTTCACAGAAATTCAATAATTTCTCACTAGTGCTCACTTTACTCATAACATATTTCTCTTATAATTACTTAATTTATCCAAACCTCACAAATAACCTAATTCGATTATTTGGATTGAAGCTTCAGTTAAAGTGAATTTAGGAGTAAGTGAAAAAAGTTAGCTATAGATTATAAGGCAGACTAACATCACCTTAAATACTTAATTTGTCATGCTAATTCCATGCCTAATTTGTTAAAATTAAGTTAGTCATGTGTGTTTAAGGATCTTGGGACTGGAGTAATTAAATGAAAGTTTGATGTTTCTGTATACAGTTATAATGAAGTTTGTACATTGTCAAGGACTGATCAACTAGGTAAAAACATGTACTTACTACAGCAGTTTACTTCGAAAGCTAAGCAATAAGTTAAACAGAAGGCCTCGCATAATCCCATAGTGCACAAGAAAAAGCAGCAAAGCAAATATACCGAAACCATAAATGCTTTTAAAGCATCTCAAAAGATGAAAAAATGAAAAAAAATACTGAATCACCATTATGCACCATGAAGATGTGCTACAAGCATACTGAAGCCTAAAGCAAGTGCACCAACGTCCAGACAAACCTATGAATGAGCATTGCGACTTACGCAAGGATGCTCCGGAACCAACTTTGTGACGGGCAAGAGCAGCATACTGTGCGCGTGCCTTGGCTCTCTGAGCAGCTTGGAGGTCTATTGCGCTGCTAGAGCGCACACCCACGCCAGCACTCCCACCAGCTCCACGGCGTGCTGAGCCAGAAGATCCGTCTGCTCACAGTACACAGATTCAATATAGATATGCACAACAGCTGCAATGCCCAGCACCTCATGTATCACAAGTTAATGAATGATGCATTATATTCATCTGAAGTTGATCTAACTACGGTAGTTTTACAATCAGATTATTAGCATAAAAATATATATGATTTTAGTAAATGCACAAATTTTGTGCTTCATCTTCACGTGACAAAAATTATTACATAACTTTCAAGAAAATATGTATAGTTCACTGAACCATATGCTGAAAAATAAACAAAATAAGTCAGAGAAAAGTCATAAGAGTGTTACAACACTTATTCTACAAGTCTTCTGCTATTCAACTTTCATTTGAATGTAGCACTAATAGATTCGGCAAACTGCCTACAATTAAAGACAATATCACAACAAAGACTTTTTATAAACAGATATACTATAGAGATACTGCATTTTGTGTATTACATACGAAAATTGTACATTTTGTTCTGAAAGAACTCTTCCATTATCTGAGATGCATACCACGTTCTTTGTAAAGTAAAATTTTAATATCATTACAACTGACTTCTGTAGTCAATATAAAACTATAGCGACTGCAACATCAATAACAACCACAACAATAACAATGTCAAATGCTGAATAGAACAAGGATACAAAATAACAAGCAAACCAATGTTTCAACATCACAAAGCATGAGCAAATGACAAAACAAATGAAGAATACTGCAATACAGTCACAACTTAATGTTGTCAACAACAGACAGAAACAAAAATACACGCAAAAGTACCAGTAATTAACAGTACAAATTCCTACTGAAAGCAAACTGAGCCAAATATAACCCATTATTAACTACCTCAAAACTGAAGAACAATGAGAAAGCAAAGAGAGATAAAGAAGGCCATATTCAGTGCTGAATAGGAGCTTGCAAAATACTGAAAGAGCTTAAAACAGGGCAGATAATAATACTAGTCAGAATAAAAAAAAAAGAGGGCAGTGCAAAAGGATTGCTTCTAAATCAGAAAAAAAAAAGTATTTATAAAATACAGTGTAGAAATAAGAATTCTTGATTTAAATGACAGGAATTATTTTTCTTTTATTCATAACAATGAACTCGACTGTGACTCAATTCATCACTGTGATGATATGAGGGTGAGAAAAGAGACTCTAAATCAGTTTATGTTGATATCCCATACAAACACCATTCATCTGAACCATCGCGCAATATTTCCGAAGACTGTACTGATCCAATTTTCAATTTCCAATTTTCACTGTACTGATCAGCACAGTCAGCACAAATTATTTACAGGATGAGAAAACAAAAGAAGAAAATATCTTTTATTGCAAAAGTATTTCTTACAATGTGTCAAAGGTCATCATTTCTTACAAACAAGGTAAAATTATGTAACAAACAAGTTCCACTGAGGTTCGCATATGTTATCACTGAGGGTGTATACAACTGACTTTCACGCGGAACACAGTTATGTTTCTGTGGCAATATCATTATCTACCTGAATCAAGTGATTAGTGCCTTGTGCCTTTCCTTTATGTAAATGTTGATATGTGAATGTTAAAAAATAAGCAATAAAATATTGAACTTTTCATTAGAATCTCACAAATTTATAAACTTCATCAAGTGTTTTCAGAGCTTAATTTTATTCAAAATGTCTATATTAATGTGGAGTTAGTACTTCATGTGAATGAGAAGAAAAGATATTGGATCCAGTATATATGCATTCTCTCATAAATTATTAGCAATCACTCAATAAGTAGCATTGTGATGTTTTAGGCTCTTAATTAAGAGATCAATACAGGAATTTTTGTTGAAAATTCCATAGCATTTCATTTTCTCTTTCCACTAATACAATAATAGATTGAATAACTACAATCATATTCCTCTTCTCTTCAACGTTTTTAGATAGGAAAAAGACATTTTTCAATGTGTCACAGATAAAAGCAATGGGGCATTGATGAACAAACTGAAAGAGGGCTAGCAGGAAGAAGAGAATGGCTGGTCCAAACCGAAAGGGCAGTGCAGAGTACCTGCATGGTCACCACCAGTTTTGTGAGCCAGTACTGGGATGCCAGAGCGGTGCTGGCGGGTAAGCGACGGTGTGCGATGGAGCAAGGAACCCCCTGCTCCGCCGCCACTGCCCATCTGCTGGTGGAGGTTCTCCGTGCTGCCTGGAGGCGACGCACAAGAGAAAGTCACACAAAAGCATTCTCTCCTCCACCTCTCAACACACCATTCCATATACTCAAACCAATTAGTTGTACAATAATAGAGCCTGAAAACCACAACATAGCAACTGAAAAACTAACTGAAAGAATCAATCAGGTCACTGAATTAACTGACAGAGCACAAATCTATATATACTCTTTACTAACTAATATACATGGTAAAAAACATTCATTCGCTGCACAATATATGAAACAAACTGCTAAAAGGTTAGACAAAAGAATTATTAGTTTTATTTCTTAATGTGGAAAGTAATATTCCATTGTAATTTTACAAACCCATTTACTCTGGATTGTCAGAAAACATTGCAAAAATCAAAGAAACCACAAGGAATTTCTTGAAACACTAATTACACTCTCACTGATAAAACAACTAGTAAATTGTAATGTTCAATAATCTCAACACACTAATTTATCACATACTACTTCAACACGCTCATTAAAAAATTAAATGGAAGTAAGCTATTAACGTGAAATAAAACTCACGGTTAACTGAAAAATTTGAATAATGTTTAGCAAATGAAACGAATACCACTATAACTGACATGAAAGAAATATCCTTCATTTACTCAATCAACAATTACACATGTCAACAAAGACTTGTCTTTGAAGAGGAGGAAATGACATCATTTCATGGAAACATTTCAAAGAAATTCACCAAGAAAAGAAATTGTTAAATTTTTTGTGGTCTTTCTTTGAAATTAGAGAACTTGAAGTGTCAGAAATTGTCGCATCAATAAACTTTTGAATAATCATATTAACAATCCATATAAAGAAAGGGGACTGCTTTGGTAGAAGCAGAAATTGATAAACAGAAACAATGAAAACTCTTTTGAAAAGAATAATCCTATCTAAACTGAAATCACTTGACATGTAAGATTCATACACTGAATGTTGTGTATCAAGACAATCCAACAATTGTGATGCATCACGTTTTACTACTTCATATGTCTGGAGTGTCACCATGCTGGCTATTACACATGAAAAGAACGTGCCTGACCCAAACAAGTGAAACTTATATCATTTTTTGATTATTCAACGCGAGTTTCAAGAACAACAAAATTTAGGAAAAGTAAATTAGCAAGAACAAAACAAGAGAACAGTTTATGTACAGCAAGCATTCTATTTTATAACAAAAATACCTACTAAGCATAATCTAAAAGCTTCATTAGCCTGATGAGCAGAAATTAATGATTTTTCCATTCAATATAGTCATAAATTACAAAGCAATTAGTATAGTTGCACAGAATAGCAACACATTGACAAAAAAAAAATAAAGTAATATATTCTTCAAAAGTTTTAAAAACATGAAGAGCTAGTAAATAATGATCTGTCCAGAAAGAAGAAATGTATCTACAATTTGAATTCACCACGAAGCACAAAGTAAACGCCTTACGATCTAGCATGTGGGGCAAATATGAGTTCAATTCCAACCAGGTGTCAGAAATTTGCTTAATGTGCGAACATGTTTTCGGCGTCTACTGGGTTTCATATTGTAGACCCATTGTTCTGATTGGTGGATTCTGTGGTTTCCTCGATCATTTCCAGGCAAATGCTGGATACCATGGTGAAGTACCTTCCCTCCACCTAACTAGAATATGCTAGCAATGAAGATATGAACATCCCGCTAAGAATTGAATGACTATTACATTGATTCAAATAAATAAATAAATAAAAGAATTCATCCATGGATGTAAATACAGAAATAAACAATCCAGTGAAATATAGACAAGAAGTGTGAAAGACCATATACTCACCCTTAGTAATATTATGTATATCATCAAGACTTGAGGAAAGTCTGCGAGGAACATCTGAAGGAATGGATTGGGTAGGAACATCCACGTCTAGTGCATTCAAGTAAAACATTTAATAACAACCACACAATTCACACAAAAACTTATTCTGTTCAACAAATGCTAAATATTGCTATAATATTTTGGCAATTTTATTCTCCAACATACTATTAAAGCAAATAATGAAATAAATAAAGCTGCAAATTGCTACTTTTTGTCATTTTTTTGAATAAGGTCAACATTACTATTAAACTTTATAAATACAAAAGGCTTGTGTCACCAAAAAGGAGGTGAGAGAGTATGTTTCAGGTTTTATAATTTGGTTTACGCAGTGACGTTAACTAACAATACAAATGCGAATGAAGTAAAGGGAGTAAACAAAGGATTAGGAAAAATATTGTTAAAGAGGAACGTTACTCAATCTGTACCTTGAATAAAATATTGTCTTTAAATGCTACAGGTAATTTATAAATACTTTTACTGGAGCAATAATACATCTCATTGTACAATAAGGAAAAACTGTCTCCTCCGTAACTCAATTTCAAAAAGATTGAATTCAATCAATATCACATGAATATTAATAAAATTTAAATACAGCAAATAGTGAGCTTTGACAAGTATTTTGGATGTAGTGAGTAAAGTAAAAAATACTTTGCAATACAATGCACAAGAAAAAACCCAATGCATGAATTATTGCAATACACTGTGTTTACTTTAAGCTTAATGAAGACAGTGTTGTCTATAAATGATTACTTTGAATAATCAGACCAATTAATTTGTTGGATCAAAACATTTTAGGATCAATGTGGTCTGAACAGGAATCTCCTGAATTGTGAAATGAAACAAATTTTCCAAGAGTAAGAAACAAATCAAAGAACATACTTACTTTTAGAACAGTGTTTCATGATCATGGTTATAAGAGGCACAGCAGGATCATTCACTACATAAGGTGCAAGGAAGTCATCTCTCTTATCTAAATACATGAAGGTGAAGGATAAATATCTGTTTTGTCTAATTAATAAATACAATAGACTCCAACATTACAGTAAAATTTAGCCACCTAGATGAGTAGTCCCATTTAATAAGACTGATTTTTAAAATTGTATTCATAAGATTTTCAAATATTTTTCTGTTCAAGTGATCTTTTAGAATACAAACATTTACTTCTGAACAGCTGCAACTATTGCACAGATGCATGATTTGATCACTATGCAAGGATGGTCCAGAAAGGTAATGATTATCTGCAGCAGGAACACTAATTCAAAAGGAACAGAGGAGAAAGATGAAGAAAGAGACTAAATCAATTGAGAGAGAGAGAGAGAAAGAGAGAGAGAGAGAAAAAGAAAAGAAATAGGTGTGTAGTTTATATACTTGCCAACAACCTGTTTTCCTACACAAAATGAGAGAAAAATATGAATAATATTAAACAAGAAAGTCTTAACAATACCAAATATGGTCATTAATGTGACTTAAAAATGTAGAATAATCACAATCGTGAATGAAGAAGGAAGAGACCATAAGTAGGAAAACAACAGTACGTAAGTATCCAAAATTTACGAGCTCATGAATTCATTGATTAAGACAGTAACATGATTTAGGACATAACTACATTCAACATTGAATATAATGGATAGAGCTGCTAGATGCACAATAATGGACATACTTAAAGAAAATTAACAGTAGTAATTTCGAGGATCAGCCATTAAAAGCAACATTGCACATGAAGACAGTAGGCTTAGATAACAACTTTGGGTCCCAAAAAACATCAGTATTTTAATTTGAAAAACAAATCACCTTCCTTCACAAGACAAACTATCACACAATGATGTGCAGATAAAATAGTATCTCCAGCAAGAACAAACAGTTGTCCAGGGTATGATTAGGCAAATACACATAAAAAAAGTAATTGCTCTTTCTACTTTCCTATTATTCCTTAACTAAATATGGAAGTCAACACTATATTGATGATAAAACAAAATAACCCACTACTTTGTTCCTTTCAAAATTATCCTCTGCTGGATGCTGATACCAGGCCCTATGTCCTGGACAGCGTTGGAGCATAACACAACATTGTAATTTTTCTCTTTTTTCCTTTTTTCCACACAATCCATGTGTACACAAAAAAACCATGTTACATTTGGAAGGGATTCCCTCCCCAAATTAAGGATTTGTACTAGACCCAGGCAAGACGGACACAGACAGTCGGACAATCAACCCAAAATGCCAAATACAAGCTCACAAGAGATAAAGGCTGCCTAACATCATATTTTATAATGAATGACATATTTATTAAGTGTGTTGCGAAAAGATCTTAAACACATCAATGAAATAGAAAAAATAATTGTGGGCAAAGGACAAAATTTCACTTCACTTCCATTTCAGATACAATTGCTTATTTAACCTTCGATGACAAACACTTGAATTTTTAAAAAACTTCCTGTAAAATTGTTACATGAAAAATACCTTAACAAATTTTAACATCAACAACACCAAACAAGCAAGAATTTCAAAAATATAACTGGCGCAGACATTAACTGGGAGAATATTACGAAAGAAGTATTTGTCAATTATTAGAGTGTATCTCAACTACTCAAATTAAACTGATACCTTTGCTTCTGAATTAAAATTACTTATAACTAAGGAACGGCATTTATTGAAATATAAAAAAGAAAAATAAGCACATATATAAGCAGAGGAGCACCAAGGTTTCTTCTCTAGAGGGGGTGAGGTGAGGGGCTACAGATTAGGGTCTAGCCGAATTGACATTTTCATTTTTATTTTTTTCTGTTTCGTAAGCTGAATATAAAAGTACATTTATCTGTTGATTTGTAATTAATATTTAAAATGTAAACAATTGATATATTGAATGACTTTCATTTGTATAAAAAAATAGTGAAAGCTATAATTTTTAATTCAGCAGAATCCCATCAATCCGAAATTTAAGATAATCCGAACAAAGGAAAATATGAACATAAACCCCTGATTTGTATTAATTTAATTTACAAACGAAAAAAGCATGAACACAGTGCATGTACACCCAATTTTGAACACTGTACGTAGAATACCCCTTAAAAGCAGGGACACAAACTGTACTTCAATTCATCTGAACACAGTAGCAACCCACTGCTGCATGTGTTAAGTATGTACTGTACTCCATAGTTCACAATACTGCCACTTCATGTCACTACGCTACGTAGCCATTTTCTCACATCGTACGCTACGATGCATTGTGTCTGGTAATCCCTTACATGTATTTGTATTCGTACAGTTTGTATGTTTGTTTTTCGGATAATCCAAACATTTCCAAATCCAAACATACCACACCCCCAATTAATTCGGATTACCGGAGACCTACTGTCTGTATCATTGCAAAGGAGGGTGGGGGTGGGGGGTGGGGGAACACACACTTAAGAGGACCTTGTCCCCGCCCAATTTTTTTGTAAAAGAACTCAATTTCTTGAAAACAATTACCATGATTTCATAGCATCACATTCAAAAGCAGTATTCTCAATAAGCCTAGTGGATAAAATTCATGTACAATTTCTGAATTCTGCATCCCTGTCAAAGTGAATATTTTCTGGTGGGATGCAGGAAGCACGATAAGAAAAGTCTGTAAGAAATGTTTGTAGGACTTTGACCGAGTTACTCATGGGCTCTGTGGAACTTGAGCAAGCACAAGTTTGCAATTGCTTTTGCTCTGCAAGTATCCATTCTATCTTGATTCTGCTATCCAAAAACTGAGGCATAGGCATAAGTTCGACAGTTCACGGTGAAGGTCCAAGGTCACAGAGGTGCATTATTACATAGCTTTGTTTCTCAGAAAGATGATACTGGCAAACTCATTTTTAATATGCTCAGTTTCATCAAGTAAATATAATAAAATTAAACAAAATATATAAGAGAGAAGTAGAAATAAGTCGAATAAGTGAAAATTGCAATAATACTCAGACTTGTACAATGAAAATGGTTTTAATTCATTCAGAATGTCTAGTAAACTCTAACAAAATTACGGAATGCATTATCGTGTACCAGAAACAATGTTTTTACATAAAAATCCGTTCCCTAGTTATAACACCTGTTTCTAAGAATGGTGTTTGTAATTGAATTAAAAAGTATCCATATATAAGTATAATGAAAAATAACTCAAAAAGTTTGAAAACATTGTAATTAATTGCTTGTTAACCCAAATTAAAACACACATAGTCCCCAACAGTTTTGCAAAGGGGTCAATTAACTTAATTCACCTTTTGAAATGAAATTAAGAAAGCAGTGAATCTTCATTTAACCTTTTAGCTGACGATTGTAAATTTGACACGATGTAGGAAATAATAATCATGAACAACCTCTTTCAAAAGACTAATTACTTAAAAGTAGGTGTGAAAAGAACAAAACAATTTTAACACTGACAAATTTTAACTGCTTTGTTGTAACATAAGGCCTTTTCAAACTGAAGTTATATTTGAAATTGAAAACAAAAACTACACATCATAAAAAATAAGTCAGCATAACCTTGAACAAAAATGTTTCTTCATGTACATCAAACAATTGTACAAGTAAACAATTCTTCAAAAATATTAGGCCATATAAAAGTCAACATCTATGCAAACATTGATAATATGATATAATACTTGGTACAATTAAAACTTTCCATTCAATAATTCGATTATCAGGAGGAACAAGGCGACCAGTACGAAGACCCAACATACTATGTAGAACTAATCATTACTATGACCTGATAATGTATCACCTAATCAGAGGAACAAATAGTTGTATGTTGCATAATGATCTAGAAATAAATCTTCATTTGAATATAATTGTGCAAACTTTGTCTACCCATGTGGTTTTATATATAGAGAAAATTTTCCTGTAAGAATAATTTAATAAAAACATTAAAAATAAAATTATTCAGTTAATGTTACTTTAGTAAGCACTCACCCTGGGCAGAACCTGACATGCGTAGACGAGGAACAGCACCACCACAACGTCCGCTGCCTGCTTGATGATGCAAAGAATTGGAGGAGCTTGAGTTTGACAATGTGTGCTCTCCATTTAATGCTCGGCGGTATGATGCATCCAGGGAGTTGAGCAGTTGCTCAGCCAACTCAGGGAAATGGGAGCGATATGCCCAGTAAGCCCTGCACAAAAGAGATACTGTTGACTTCCATGCTCCTTTGCACAAAGGAGTGTTACAAGTCATTTCACAGTCCTACTCTGGGATGATTCATTATGGTTAATGCACACCACTTGAATAAGACACAGTTTACTTGTCACTCAGACCATACATACAGGCCACCCATGCCCCACACCTAGTTTCTTAACACAAGATGAACTGGAAATTTAAACTACCAAGGATAGGCATTTGAATTACCTAATTTAAAGAATCAATCCAATTATTTCAGGGAAGGATTATTAATATTCAAATAAAATATAACAGATGTCAAAGATAACTGTTATTGTCATGCTAAACCGAAATATAAATAAAATTAATTATACTCTGAATCACATTTGACAAAGGGTATTCTGAATCATTTCAATGCATGGCCTACTGCAGGATACATCTAACAACAATGGTCGGGGCGGTGGTAATATGCCGTATTTATTACGTTACTATTAAGAATTAACTGCCAAAACCAAGTAAAAAATAATAACATTAACACAATATTTATTATCAGATTGAATAATATACTAAAATTATCCACAAAATCTAAACTAATTTTAACGAAATCATGTCACGCCACTGTTCAACATTACACGAAAAAAGGAAAGCATTAACGTCCTGTTTGTAACGTTATCAATCTGATCAATTACAAGCGCTCCGATTCGTTGCGATTTGTCTCGCTTGGGCAACGTTCTCTCTTTCACCAGAAAGGTAAACTTACGTTATTAAAAATTTCGTCGTCCTTTTTAGGCCCTTCACTCTTGGCCACTTCGATAAGAAAGAACGCACATTTTACTAACTTGTGAAAATTATATTAAAACAAACATCGAGTACAAAGAGACCAATTAAAAAATTGCCTTCAACAAATCAACGTTCAAATCATCGCCATCGCATCTCCAGTCGGAGCACACGGTCGCAATATCAGGGCCGCGGAGAGAAAATTCAGATCCTGAAACAAAAAAGGTAGTATGTGGGCCCTTACAAAAAATTCTGCAGACATAAATATGCCTGTTTCTTTCAATCGATTATAGTGATATACTGAGATGAGACACATCCAATGGCGCTCGACCGTTCACAACGGTTCTTAACCCACTTTCCCGGAACTCGCGGTGTTTCAGAACATGACATAATACCCGATGTGACGCGCGCGTGACTTGATTTCGAAAATAAATTAAATTACAAAATTAAAATGCAAAAGATACGACAAAAAAATAAATTGCCGGTCCAGATGGGCGAAATCGTTATCTCGGCCATCCGGTAGTAGTGCCGAGATCGTAGCGATCTCGGACCCGAGGATCGCGGGTTCGAATCCCGCCTCGGGCATGGTTGTATTTGTGTTCATTCTCTCATCCCCTATCATCACCATATAATGTCTTCAGAGTTACCATTCAGTTAAATTCAATAGTGATCGCTAATGATCTAGATGTTGATGCGACCTTAAATAACAACAAAAAAGTTCAAATTATAACAAAAATTACGGAACTCCTAGGACATACTTAGGCCCCCAGAGCGACGCACCGGCTGCAGCCTCGTGCTTGCGATGTCACCCAGAAAGGGGAGTGCATCCTCCCACACGCCACGCTTTTTTTTCATTGAGAATAATTAAAAAAGTATTTACTTTTAATTCAACCAGTTACTTTTGTTGCACGGGGAAAGCATTATGTTTATGAGGAAGAGAAGGAGGAGGGCGGGGACGTTCTTTGGAATCTGGGGGTCCCCGTGGATCTCCTGCGCCAAAGAGCACTTACTTGCGAGCGGAGAGGCGCGCCTCGGGGTCGGCGTCGGCGATGCCCCGGCGCACGGCGTCCTGCAGCAGCGCGGCGTGGCGCTCGAGCGCCGAGCTCGGCCACCCGGTCAGCAGCAGCGCCAGCAGCTCGGCGCAAGCGCGCCGGATGTCGCGCGACTTTGACGACGCCAGCTCGCGGCACAGCGGCGGCACTAGGCGCGGCGCGGGCGTATTGCGCAGCAGGAAGCGCGCCGACACGTTGCCCGCAGACGCCATCACCTGCCGAGGGCACGACGCGACCCTTCACCATCGCGCTGCGGTGACCCCTCGCATACTTCCATTTAAAGCAATGCTTTGCCAGCAGACGCGCTGCTGGGTGGTGCCGTGTGAAGGGGTCCTAAGAGGGTGCCGCTACCCCCCCCCTCGGCCTGATTTTGACAAACCACTCCAGTCACTTGGTGAAAAAGTTAATTCGGGGATTTTATTCATGTACCGTTCTTTATGGAGTACACTAAAAAGCATCTGAATAAATGGAATACGTGAGGAACGCGCATACTTCATTTAAAATTCTGTAATTAATTTATATAAATTTAGTAGTAAATGCACGAGTAAAGAGGATCATGATAACCGTATCCGTATTGGAAGGAGTAGAGTTGAAACTTTAGCGTAGGTTGCACTCAACTTTTCGTTAATCGCGGACACTGAAGGCCGGAGTCTCGCGGTCGATTTGGAAATGTGCAAGGGAAGCGAGTCAAATTAATCGCATCAAATTGTTAAAAAAATCACTTCACCCAACTTTTTTCCCCATGAACGTCTTGAATCACCTCCCATCAAACAACGTATTTGGCACGTATTTCGTTTACCCATTTGATTTAGTTTTTTGACAAAATCGTGCCCTGAGCAAACAGCCCAAAGATGGTTTCCTTTGAAGAAGGAGCGGGAGTCTACTAAGGTCACAAAAATGCCGGAGCAGTACTCTAACAAACAGGCCACGGACAGCGCGCGATGTTTCTATCCTCTCTCTTGTCCAATTCCCATTATCAGACTTGTCGGAAGCTGAGAGGACTCATCTGGGGGGGGGGGGCTACTGGTGAGAGATACCAGGTCGGGGAAATCCTTGGAAGCCGACGTACGTCAGCGCCGGATCTCGCCAGTCAGTGCGGAAAGATCACAGCCACCTCCCCACAATAAAACATGTACCACACTTACGGGACTACTGACCTTAGCAGTTGACGCAATCCCGCCCCGGCCCCCCGCACTTACCTTGGCGGAGTTCTGGATGAGCTGGAGCAGGTGCGGCAGCAGGGCCTCGGCGAAGCGATCGGCGCGCGCGCGCAGCCGCTCCGACACGTACGCCACCGTGAGACACGCCTCGCGCACCACCTGCGAGCGCAGGTCGCGCGCCGCCGTGCACAGCGGCGCCTCCAGCGACCGCAGCTGCGTGGGCAGCTGCTCCTCAAGCGACCCGCCCGCCGCGCACGCCGCTGCCACCAGCGCGCGCAGACGCCGCATCTGCAGCGCGCGAGCACAAGCGACGGGTCAGCGCAATAGGGGTCGAAGTCACATTTTAAAGAAGCGGGGAAAAACGGGGTCAGCGCAATAGGGGTCGAAGTCACATTTTAAAGAAGCGGGGAAAACGGAGTTCAAAGATCGCAGTTTGGTAAGAAACAGTTGTGGAAAGAAAGAGTTGTGAAGAGATTGATCTTCTTCTCTCAAAAGAATTGGATACGAAGAAAGCCTAGGAAACACAAGGGTACTTTGGTAGCAAGACTATCATATGGCATGGAAATATGACAAACGAGCAGTGGCGACTTGTGCGAGTTTCTTAAGAGGGGAAATAATTATAATGCATAAACTTCTTCAAATAAATCATCCTACAAATTAGATGACATGCGTCGTCTTGTGATTGCATAAACAAGAAAGATCAGTTCGGTTTTACCGTGGCTTCCATCAGCCCACCCCGGCTGCCGACGTCTGACCTTTGCCTGCCACAGTATGACGACTCGCAGCCCTTACATACACTCAGAAAAGAAGTCAATAAATGGCACTGCAAGGGAGGAGATTCTCCCCTACTGCCGTAGAGTCTCAATAAAAACGTTTCTTCTTCCAGCGCCAAGAGCGCTGAAAGTAATTGGCAACTAGCACACGACAGGAGGAAAGGTTAAAAGTTCCTCCTCAGAGCGACGTCGATTAATTTCCATCGTTTACATGTAGCTTCATGGCGCGCGTAGTTTAAAACAATCAAAATAAATTTCCTCAGAGATGCCAACTCATAACCCGTACATTTTCTCCTCGCACATCGAACTTACTACTGAACCTGTCCACTGAACACCTTGCATACTGGCACAGAGTCACAATAAAAAACGTTTGCATATGCCCTTACTATTGAACACTCTGTATACGGTTCCAATTTAATGTGTTAAATCTTAAGAAGCGCGACGTGCAGAACAGGATGTTTTAAAAATTGAGTAGTATAAGTATACATTAAATATTTACTTTGCAATTAAGCAAGCGTTTATTTACCGGATAAAAAATTGCGTCAATGTATTTTGAAGGCTAGATTTCCAGTGATACGAGAAGTCGTGAAAATGCTCTGTCCATTTTTGTAATTCGCGGTCTGCCCACTGGCGCTTCTGCCGTATTTATTGGGCCCGTTGGCGCTGGCGCTAAGGTCGGCGGCGCGCACAGCGTGCCAATAGATTAGGGCGCGTCGTTGGCAACTCACGCCGAAGGTGTGGCTTGCGTGTAGATGGTTTCGGTGTGAGAAGGTTGCGTTCCTATACTAATTACTTGGAATGCGGCTTGGTGTATGTAAGTGGCATCGGAAGGGAAAACAAAGACCAGAAATTTCAAAGACTGAAATTATGATTTCGAGTCATTCCCTAATTTCAATTTGCATGTGTAATTTTACTGAAACTTTGAACAATATTATACTGTCAATTTAATAAAAAAAACCGTTTTGAATAGAAAATATATTCAAATTCAGAAAGATTGAAACAGAATCGATGAACTGAATTCCTGATTTGGTAGGGACACTGCAGTAGAAAATAAACAATCACAGAAGACATGTAAGCGACTACCAGATCGTAAAAGAACATAATTCGCTTTTCCCCGAAATCACAATAGATTCGACCGTAAGCTGGCTGTAAGTCTGTGATAGCACGTGGCAATGTTTATTTTACCATGTTGATCCGCAAATATGCCACGCACGAAACTAGCCTTCTCTGCGAAATTGCACGGCACGGGGAAACGTAACACTAAGCTTCTCTTTGGCCGAATTTGCGTTGTTCATTTTTACCTCGCCAACGGAGCACCACTATCGCACACGCATAGCAGAAGTTTCGCCAGAGATCAACTACAGGCAAAGAAGCAGTGGCACTCGCCAGTGACTATGTGCAGCAGGCATATAGGACTTCTTTTTCTTTATCTCAAAATTTCTATATTACGACTATATCGACTCTTTTGATTCCCCGAACTATTCATTTCATGCCAGGGTAGAAATCAGAACATACTACGATGTTATAATAGAAAATACTTTATCGTATTTTTTATTTTAACAATATTAAAATACAAGGTGATCCCGTGGAAAAAATTCCCAAATTGGAACTCGATTTCATGTGTTTTCAAGAACAAGATACTTCAATTGAGGATTGCCTCGCTGAACAACAGGACCCCCGCAAACGGTCTGTGCGATCAATGGCATGTCACATTTTGTATAGATTCACCTTTATTAGACGCTTATTACACAATTTCCTGGATATTTTGCATTTGTCAGCTTAACGTGAAAAAATTGAATCGGTTTTCAGAAGCGATATTAAATTTAAGGACTGTAAACCAAAGAGCGCCCACTGATTTTTTTTTTTCAGGCAAGGTTATATTCAGCGAGCACGGGAGTAAACCGGTTGAAACTGAGATAGTATTAGGTTTCATCTGAACCAGACACCTTGGCGCATAGGTCCGGTCTGAAACAAAATTCGAGATAATGTTACTTTCCTCATCCAATATCATACGCTTACTGTGCGTCAATAAAAATTTCTGACAATTTATATACTCTGTTCCTGACATTAAATTAATACGCTGCAACACATTTATCGTGAACATTACAGTCAATACAGCATTTCGATAAAACTGGAATATAGTTTGTTTTCCGCGCAGTTTGAATAGTCCAAAACACCACCGATCCTGAACTTCAAATCCTTTCTCATATTATTCTTCCCACAGCAGACACTCCAGAAACTCACCACTCTACGAGCAGACACAGCAATGCACTTAGCCGACATTAAAAGTATCGCTTCACCGAGATGAGCCATATCAAACGTCCGAACTTCGGAGGGAGCGAACCTCCACGTTTTATCAGCGCCAACGCTTATGGCACGAGGCATGATGGACTCGGGCCAAAAAACTTGCGTGACTACTGAAGCGAAGAACTTCGTTCATTTCGAGAAATCTTGCTGTCCCCATATTTACGTGGCTTTCTCTGTAGTCAAACGGCCCCAATTTTGTTGGCAAACAAGAAAATCATAAATAATAGGGAAGAATTTGTAAACTTAGATTTTTACTTAGAAGCACGGGAACAATACGAGCTTTTTACTTTCTCCCTCTGGAGTTAGTATCATTAACAGAATCGTCAACAATAGCGTTTGTAATTTCGCACACATTTTCTGAACAGAAATTAAACAACGAATATTCAAAAGGGAATAAAGTAAAGAAAGGAAAGAAAGGAAAGAAAGGAAAGAAAGAAAAAGAAAGAAAAAGAAAGAAAAAGAAAGAAAAAGAAAGAAAAAGAAAGAAAAAGAAAGAAAAAAAGAAAAAGAAAGAAAAAAGAAAAAGAAGAAAGAAAAAGAAGAAAGAAAGAAAAAGAACAAAGAAAGAAAAAGAACAAAGAAAGAAAAAGAAAAGAAACGAAATAAATAATGGACTTAATTTTATTGATAGCAGAAGGACTACACAAGTTATCTAATCTGAGGTCAGAAAAATGACAGTCCCGATTGTATCCTTTTCTGGAGTCTTCACATGACGGCGCAACGCCCTCAAAACGAGACATGCACTAGTGCTCGGCGGGAAGTCTAACTTGGCATCTAGTCTATATCATAATACACCTCGTGCAGACATGGTACAAAACAGTCCTAGTACAAAATGGCCGGTACTTAAAATTTCAGACACACTTTTTTAGTATGACTCTTGGCGAAATAGTCAAGCATTACTGGTCATCTAGTAACAGTTTGGTGAAGATTTTATGCGTGGAATGCGAGTAAACCTGTATATAAATTAAATTTCCCATTAGGCATGTCAAGCTGCGCCCACAAGAGCTACTTGAAGCGGGGAGCGTAAGCGCAAAGCGTGCTCGAAGAATAACGAATAATGGAGGCTTCATGGGAAAGTATGTTTGCCGGTTGTTTTCTATTAAACAACGCACATTTGAATTTTGTTTATAAGTTTCGCAATTAATTACTTTATTTCATTTTAAATTTTGCCTTGGGACGGGTAAAACAATACTGTGATTTTTGTTGGAACTATCAGTAATCATATTTCCGGTTTATGACAAGTGTTTTAACCGGAATCCGTTTAACGGGACACCGCTTTAATCGCCCATTCACTATTGTCAATCTTTCTAAGTAGAGGAAGGCACGTTCAAGAAGGATCCAAGATCTTCACGTACGCGAAGAAGAGAGTATATTCCCCCACAACCTTAATTTTGTACGTACACCGACAACGCTTGGCTCACATTAAAAATTTCCTATACAATTATCCCTTTGATTGGACTGTATTTCTACTTTTCTACTTTGATTGGACTGTACTTTTCTCCAATCGTCTCACATTTTTAACTGTTTTTTGACGTAAAATACATTTAAAAAAAATAAAATTTGTCGCTATAAAACTCTCATGGCGATAATTCACATTTTGTTATACAAACTTTCGTTTTAACTGAGCTTCCCACCTGAGGTCACAGATTCTCTCCCGATGGGCGTTAAAGAGCACTGTGACTGGGAATTTTATTTAATGAAGCCGATCGCAGAGTGCGCAAAAGCCGTCGTTGCGGCACGGGCGTACTCACCGCGTCGACGCGCTTGCTCCAGTCCTTGGCCGGGTCGCCGACGGTGTCGCGGACCGCCGCCAGCTGCTCCTCGAGCTCCCGCACGGAGAAGACGGACGCCGGCACCACTTCGGCGAAGGCGCGCTGGAAGGTGTCTTCGTCCACGGCGCCCGCCTGGCCGCCACCGCCGCCGCCGCCGCCTCCGCCGCCGCCTGCGCAGCGCCGCCCGCCACTCGTGTCCACCACAGCCCGTCCCCGCCAGGCCACGCACGGCTCTACCGCCACCGCCACCCCGACACGAGAGACCTTCCGTACACACCGCGGCTCAACGCTTCGTGCCACCCTAGCCGCCTGATCCGTTTAATCCCGCGTGCAATCTTATCTGCATTAACTCTAAACTGGTGTAGTTGTTTAGCCAAAACATAATTTTTAGTTTTGGAAATCTGAACAAGGGTCTGCACAATTTATTCTAACTCTCGTGCTTCATCCCCTTAGTGCAAATAAAGAGGCTGAGTCTCTTTGTTCTGCGTAGCTCTGTGTAGGAAGGTTCTCGAATCGTCACCGCCACCGCCGTCACCGTTACCGCTCGCGCCACCCGCCACGCGAGAACGACAGGGCCCTCCCCCAGCAACAGCGAGACGAACCGCCCCAGGCGAATTTCGAGCTATGTCTCAAGGAGGCGCCACACACGCGGCATTTGGCCAGCGCCGGGCGACTCCTCGCCGAATCCCGATTTGCCAGGGGCTCAGAGAACGCTCGGTTTTCTTTGACACCAATACAGAACGACCGCCGAGGAGAAACTGGGAAATGTCTGGGATATAGGATGCAAAGAGCTACTGTAAAGAACTGCTTGTGTAAAAAATGTTGGAAGACGACGCGCATGGATACACAAAACAGTTTAATCTTACAAGGTTTTACTTTAGATTTCTCCCGATACACGTTTTCCCAATATATTGAGCAATATTAGCAGACAATTTCTCAGCGTACAAAAATACGAAAGATGCAAAGGAAAATCATGCGGAAATATCACTGTCATGTCCACAAGAAAGACGTTTTTACTTGATCCGTATACTTGGAAGAGAATCATTTGTTTATTTCTTACTTTATTCCCCAAAAACTCCTTGTTCATAACGCGCTGTATAAAAATATGCAACTAAAAAGTCCAGCCCGTCCAGCAAATGAAGTAAATTGGGAGGGTAAGATTTTAGAAATTAACTTAATAATAATAATAATAACAAAATGTATTAATAACTAATAAAATTTAATTTAATAGAAAGTGTAAATAATGAAATAATATCGTGTTTTGATTCTGAACAATAAACATATATCCCCTCCCTAAATGCCAGATACCAATACATCCTTTGTGGTAGATATTAAAACATATTAAAACAACGAACAAGAGGATGTTGAATATTTCCGAGCGCGTCAAATATGACCTATTGTCCGTAGTGTAGTGCATGTTACAGTTGGTGTTCATCCCCCGCTGGGAAGCGAGATCCAGCGCCGATTTGCATGCAAGCTTGCGTAATATCCCCCTCCAGGTATCTCATCCTCCAGGTAGCGACGCAACGTCCTAGCTGGGAAAAACTCTAAGCTCAGGATATGTTTGGTACTGCAGTGCGTGTGTGTTTTAGTGGACAGTAAGGACAAGGATGAAGAAAAGATGGCGGGCGGTCCGAAGCCCGGTTGTTACGGTACTGCTCCGGCATTCGCCTGGTATTCATCAGGGAAACCAGGGAAAACTACGGATCAGAGCAGCCAATCGCTAGACATCTCCTCCAGACTACGATTGAATTCGATCTAGCGCACTAGCTAGTATCGAAAATTCGTCGCCGTCGGGATTCGAATCCTAGGACCTCCTGGTCAAAGACGTCGCAGCGGCAACATCAACGCCAACAAATGAAGAGATCCGCCTCTTTCGACAACGCCGGGGAATCGTGTGCCCACGTTCGCACAAGGGGGGGGGGTGGCGGATGGCGGGGGCGTTTGGCCGTCGAAGCGAGCGCAAGAGCCTATTGCGCCATGCACTGCGTCTGCCGGCACCCGCAAGGCTCAGCGCGTGCACGAACAGCAACCCCCCTTCCCAATGGCCAGAATGTCAAGGTTCTATCTGACACGTCTGGGGAAAATGTTTTCACATGTTCGAACTCTCTATTGGTAGATGTACAATATACTAAAACAGTTGTCAAATCAGACTTTTGCAGAAACGTCTATGAATTAAAAGACCTAATATTTTGAGTATCATTATTGTATTCCTCCTAAGTTTCAAAACGCCATCCTGTAACGTTTCCACAAACGCTGGACAGAACCTCGTCATTCTGAAGCTGCGTGCTGTTGGGCGTGAAACACCACCCTGCTAAATGGACGGTGCGCTCCCCTAGTGCGTATCCCTGTCAGCACCCACGATGTAGCAGCATCGAGGCGTAGACAACAATTTACGCACACTTCTAGGTGTCATGCTACAAAGAAAAATAATTCAAAAATGTCACCAATCTGGAAATTAAAAAAAATAATGTATTACTAATATTTATTATACCGCAATTTGACCACGTGTGTATTGCAAATTCACTCTAACGACATTCAACGTAAAAAATGAAACGAATTCATGGGTTTGTCAATAAACTGAAGTTCATGAATCAAAACATAAGTATTAAAATGTGTTGAAAATACAAAACAAATTATTTCAAAAGCAACACCGAGCAGTGCTGTGCAGTGAACATTATCTGAAATCTATACGATCAGATGACGTTGAGTTTGGTCGGAATTTTAAAACTACATCAAGACAACAAACTAAATACATAACTTACATCACCTAAGATGTGCAGTATACACAGCGTTTAAGAGAAAGTGCAGAAACGCAGAGCGCAACAACGCGAATCATTGCTAATAAGAATAATTTAATTATTAAGTGATGATTTAAAGCGAATAAGTACAGAACCGAAATTACGATTTTCAGTATCTTTTTGTCCTTCTCCTGAAATGTGACTAGCGCAGAGCGCCTGCTTTTGACACCTAGGGTTGAACAACGAAAACTGCTTCCCTTTACACTTCTACCTGCCATCTGCGTTTGAGCACTTTATTCCGAAACACCAGGAATATAGTTCAATACAATCGTAGTAAAATAGTTCGTAAGCAATCTGGCCTTTCAATCGTTAAACAACTGTGTTAAATACAACAATGCATTTAAAAGTCATTTTCTAATAATACAAAAGACAGAAAATTAAGGTCTTTGCATTGAATGTATATTCTCACTGCAATTATACCAAAACATTTGGATATATTATCAACCAGATATTGCGAATATATTGTTGATCGATAGTAAAAATACGTGTAACATGTCGATGGGTATAATAAAGTAACATCAGACACACAAACACACACATGATTTGGGAATATCGAACATGCAAAAAGGTAGATATCTTGCAAGAATAAAATACGAGCATGAAAGTTTCGGGAATTAACTATCGCCATTTTCTCCTTACCCCCTTGTACGTTTAGCAAAACGATTTTATCCCGATTGCCACAGTATTCGACGATACCGACATATTACAAAGAAATGGTTACTTTCAACGCTTCAGTTGGGGGCAGCCATCCGACTCAACGGACACTAATAAATCAATGTATCGGAAACGAATTAAGGAAGGCCTCTCACCAAACGTGCCAATGTACGTAACGTGTTACATAAAGCATTTAAAAAGCAGCAGACAATTTTCGCGTGATTAATATGATTATGTGACCAATAGACGTAAAGAGGCACTTAAAAGGAAATTAGTAATGTAGTGATCTATTAAACAATAAGCATCTCTTATGCAATTTAGTTCATGTGTAAAACACATACTTTAACCGGTGCATAACTTTACACGTCAAAAAAAATTGCTGATTTTCTTCGGAGACACCTACTTAAATTGTTGAGATGAAACCTTATGATATCAGTACCCTTTGGGCACACGTTTTTCAGCCCACCGATTGTGCATGCAGATACCTCAGGCTCTCAGCGAGCCCGGAACGACGCGCAAGCCCGCAGCAGCGCACCACGCCGGTGCCATGCGAAGCCGCTCGCTCACCTTTATGATCCCTCGAGGATAAACAAGCGTGGTGAATTACTCCAGGCTACGTACCGCCGCCCCATCACAAATTGACAATACATCATGTATTAGTGCTTCAGTGCGGATGTGACGAGGACAAGCACGCTGCCTAATTAAACATTTCCCGTTGATAAAGTCGAAGTTGATGTCCCAGGCCAGAGATTTCCAGGTTTTACGACACCGAGCACCACTTAAAACCTACATCAATTTTGGCGTGTCCTCTCCTTAAATACTAATATCTCAAAAAGTTCATTTTTAAATAATACGCAAGTATAGGGAGTTCAAGTCTCTTAAATTTGACACGGGCAATTTGAAACTATTATGCAAGAGAAGTCTGCATTGTTGAACCACGAATATAGTATTTGAGTGAAACCAGCTGATATTAGTGAAATTTCTGCTATAAATATAAGTATTGTTTAAGTTCATATCTATACAGCATTGATTGCATTAGTTCTTTAACAATGGTTTTTAATGTTCAATTTATACATTATCCATTTCAAAATAGGGGTTTCCTCCTGCTAGCTCAAGTACCAACTGAATGTCTCCCTCCTCCCTGCATGCCAGTACCCCAAGTGGTACATATATTCTTGTGCAAACGTTTAAAACGCAGCCTGTTAATTCATCAATATCACATTGATTTTCAAACTTTTAGCTTGACTGAAGTTTTTTTTTATCGGATTTGGATCATTCGAGTACACAGGAATTCACCACGCTTGTTTCCACCAAGGATTAGCCGCTGCCCACGTTGGCCCGCAACGGTGCTCCCGTCACCTCCCATGTCTCAGCTCTGGTCGCCACGAGTCGGTTCCCGGGGAAGAGAGGGGCGCTAGCCTTCCAAAAGACATTGTTCTCCAGGCTTAAGCACAGATGCTTATGCACTGACCCCAGAGACGACATGAAATGCGTTCAGAAGTTCCTTTTTTATTTGGTAGTTAGAACGCAAGATATGTACAGTTAACGTCGACGTTAAATACTAATTATATGGCCAATGCATTTATGATATGAAACATATCACGATATTATATTAATTAGCGTGTCTAACGTTACATTAATATATTCCACTTAATGAACATTCAAAGATGCAAATTCCAAATACAAAAGCAATAAAATTTTAAAAAGGGAACATAT